CCACTAAAAAATAGCTAATTATCATGTAAATTAGGTAATTAATATGCACGGATTTTTACCAAAAATTAATCAAATCTGCGCATATGTTCAGAGCATCTATGTACCAAGTTTCATCAAAATCCAATGAGTGGTTCTTTAGATATCAGTGGAACAGTCATAGAACAGCTAAAAATTAGCTAATTATCATGCAAATTAGGTAATTAACGAGCATGGATTTTTACCAGAACCTAATCAAATCTGCGCATTGGCCCAGAGCATCTATGCACCAAGTTTCATCAAAAACCGATGTATGGTTCTTGAGATAGCAGTGGAACAGTCGGACACACATACACACACACATACACATACACACATACAGACACACTAACTGCAAAGACTCCCATTTTGTGCTTCGCACATGGGAGTCAAAAAGAAAAAACAAACAGTAAAGATAGAAAATCTGGAGCGAAAATTAAAAAATTTGGATGATCAAATTTGCCTAAATCCTACTGCTGAAGTATTACATGAATTTAGTCAAATAAAAGAATCATTACAACAGGAATACGACAAAATAGCAGAGGGGCAGATTGTTAGAGCTAGGGCCAATGAACGCTAGGAGATCTCAAATAAACAAACTTACTAGAACGAATGGGTCAGAGGTGAGGTCCCAGAGAAATTAAGAAATTAAAATGTATTATGAAAATTTGTGTGCCTCAAAACTTGACCAAAATGAAAGAGTGGGGAGGGAAAATGCTCATTTTTTGATAATCCAGACATTCCAAAACTGAAGATCAGGCAAACATTTGTGAAGGCCTCATCTCTGTTGAGGAAGCCTGGGAGGTGATTAAAACTTTTGTACCAAATGAAACCTAAGGTAATGACGTTCTGCCAGCTGATTTTTATAAACAATTTTGGCCATTGGTTAACAAATTTATGGCGAGGGCTCTAAAAACATCCCTTGAGAAAGGCAGGCTATCCACATCTCAACCACAAGCTGTATTAATATTGCTGGGGAAAAAAGGAATAGAAGGGATAATAGCAAGATCCAAAATTGGCGGCCTATATCACTCCTCAATTCAGATTACTAGTATAAGATTGGTACAAAATGTATAACTAAAAGATTAGAAAAAGTTCTTCCGCAGTTAATACATATAACCCAATCGGCTTTTGTCAAAAATAGATTTATAGGAGATGTTGTGAGATTGGTTGACTGTGTAATGGAGTACATGGACGAGGAGGACATCCCTGGTTTGTTATTAACAATAGACTTTGAAAAAGTGGCCTTTCCTCTTTAGAGCATTGGAGACTTATAATTTTGGCCCAAGTTTTATAAAATGGATAAAAGTATTTTACTCTGACATCTCCAGTTGTGCTATGAACAAAGGCACCAGTACAGGATATTTCCCTCTGGGGCGAGGAGTTAGGCAGAGGGATCCAATTTCTCCCCTGTTGTTCATTTTGGTGTTGGAGATATTTCTGTGCTCACTGCGGTCCAGTCAGGATATTGAAGGGGTTGCGGTTCCGGGTTTTGGTTCTCTCAAAAGTGCGTTTGCAGACGATCTGACATGCTTCCTCAGTGATCTCTCTTCATGTAGAAAACTGTTTGAAAAATTGGGTAATTTCGAAAAAATATCTGGGTTAGCAATTAACCAGGATAAGTTTAAGTGTGAAGCAATGTGGATTGGAAACAAAAGCAAATGTAAAAAGAAACCCCTTGCGGTAAAATGGCCAATTATGATTCAAATTGTTGGTGTTTACTTTTCAAATGACAGAAAAATGGCAATGGATAAAAATGTCACAATCCCCATAGAGAAACTAAAAGTATCTTTACACTTCTGGAAAATGAGAGACCTAACACTGCTTGGGAGAATCCAAATTATTAAAGCTATGGGTATTTCATGAGTTCAGTATATTCTTAGTCTCTCGGATTGCCCTAATAGATACCTGAAAGAAATAAACAAAATGTTATTTACATTTCTTTGGAAAGGAAAAGATAAGGTGGCCATGAAAACAATGATAGGGGATATTTTTGCTTAACGAATAGATTGATTACGTCATCTGTTTGACAACGATATAGTCCACCCTTGGAAATGAATATTGCAGAAGAAACTGCCTCGAGTTGGGGAATAGAAACACTTTTAAGGAGTAATTTTAATATTAATGCTCTTCCTATTACTGTGAGGGATTTCTTACGTAGTATGTTAGAGTCGTGGCTAGCAGTCACAGCTCTGCCAGATGGTGAAAAGCATCCCCTAAATCAAAGTATTTGGAACAACAAATATAATTTACAAGGAGGCAGAAGTATATTTTTGGGAGATTTCAGGGAGGCTGGTTTCCACTATGTTGGAAATCTTTTTGATAATAAGGGCCAACTTCTTTAATGGGGTGAAGTGGAAAAAATGGGAATACCTCACAAGAGGTTTTTGGATTAGTCTGGAGTTGCGAGTGGAAAAGGGAAGTAGATATAAACAAATTTGCTAGCCTTGAGGATGACATGTTGGGTATCAGATTTGTGGGCATTCAAATTCATTTGAAACAATGTAAAACTAAGTTGGTGACTCCAGAAGTGATAAAGCAATATTTTATTTCGCCAAGATTTGAAATTTATCATGTTAAAACACTGAACTCCAATATTACTGAATGGGAAATTATCTACTTAGCACCATTTAAACTCACAATAGTCAAAGCTCAGAAAATTTCAATGGAAAATCAGATATGGGGGACAAAACTGATTTTCCCTCGGGTAAACGACCCAGAATGCTTTTTGTTTGGTGATAGTCTTCACCCCTCCTGTTAAACTTTTTGCTTTTGGTTGCCAGGAGGTTTATTTATATTTGCAGATGTCAGGGTAAAAAACCAAAATTTGAGGAATTTAAAGACTTTGTGCAGAGGGTACGGAAAAGTGAGTACTTGATTGCAAACAGAAAAGGTAAATTGGGAAAACATTTTTAAAAATAGGGAAAATTTATGAAAATTGTAGCTACGTCCTAGCATATCAACATGACTACCAGAGCATATATATATAGTACACGGGCTACGTACGTACACACATTCAATATTAGTGGATCCAGAAGATGTACACTGCCATTTTCAAGCGAGTAAATTCCAATAATTATAGGCCGCTCCAGTTCACTGTAACATCGAATACTAATAAAAGACTATAAACAGACTCGTTTTTTTTCACTACTGCAGAAAAAATGTAATAAAGAACGGTGAAACTGAAAAAGCGATAGCGTTAGCATATTAACCTTTTCGCCACCAGACTTTCTCGCCCAAATTATTCTGGAAATGAACCCTAATTGTGGAGCTTTTACTCAAACAAATTTGACTATTTTTGTCCTGATCTTCTGAAGGAAACTATACTATTTCCATACATGCGAATAGTGATGGATGTCCTGGATAACTTTGTCTCTCCCAAAGAATAAATAGTTTACACAGAGCCCTTGTACATAAAATCAACATGAGTGCGTCTAGATGATTAGTCAGACCATCTGCCATTGGATGAATTCCAATAATTACTGGCCTTTCTAAATCACTGTAACTTCTGATACTAGTTAACACTATACAGTCTGACTGGGTACTTTCTTCATCCTTTACATTATATCCTAAAGCTTCAATTTCATATTTGACTTTACTGATGTCTTTCTTTGTATTAACTAAGACGGCTATGTCTTGAGGTAAATAACCCTCAGATTTCAAAGTGTCAAGAATCGAGCCGAGGTGTTGGAGAGATTCGCAATGCTCTATTTCACATGGAGAGCATCCATCGAAGCTGTGTGCAACTTCTATCCCCTCTGAATACAAAACTTCACATAGATATTGTTTAGCGTGGTTGAATATGTTAATACTATTTCTTACAACTTTTCTAAGACTGTAGCATGGTTCGAGCAAGCCAGGGATACCACTCATATTATATGGGTAATCAATTCTAATTTTCTGAGCCAAATCAATGAAACACCAGAAGTAGCCACCACTCTTATTTGTCATACTTCTTGCTTTGCAATACCACTTATCATATCTATCTTCATGTCGGTAAAACTGAACCCCATCCATGACGATGTGTTTCACTTCAGGAAAGTCACCCCTGACGAACGCGGCTCTTGTTATAGCTATACAGACACCTGTTTTCCTACAAAAAACGACAATTTTAAGAGTTAATTCAGATAGATCGTTTCATATATTTGTATTCTCAATACTGGTCGCAATTCAGGGCTAATACACTGCACAAGTTCCTTTGTATTAAATATACATACAACATGCATTGTATATCACTACTTACAAGGCTAATTGCAATGCTCCTTTGTATTCATTCACGTACAAAATCTGTTCTGGTGAAAGGTTTTCTTCTTTGTGTTTCTTCTTCATGAATTCTAAAGCCATCAATGTTTTTCCAGTTCCAGGCGGCCCTTTGATCCATAGATGCTTACTTGAAAAATCATGCAATTTCTTCCAGAAAATATGGAACTGATTCACTGTTAACGCATTTAGATAAGTACATCCCACTTTACTAGAGAGGTGTGTTGAAGAGAATGATAATAATACAGCAGTCAGTGAGTATGTGATAGATTTCACTTTATCCTGGTCGATGTTGTGATACTCTTTCGGGTAAAAATTATTAATGACAAGTTCTACAGGCGCATTCAATAAATCGATATCAACAACATTGTGATTGATTGCAAACTGTTTTGTACAGCCCCCTATCTTTACTAATGCAGATTTGAGCTCCTTGGCAGTTTCTCGACTGTATTTGCAGATTTCTTCACTTGCTCCTCTTGAAAGTGTCAGAAGGAAAATTCCCTTTCCAACCACGAAAAGTAGAATATCGCAGACTAGTGTATTAGGCACAAGTAATTTCATTGCATGTGCGTCTTTAATGCACTCGCAATAAAAGGACTTGACACAGATGGATGTTCCTTGAACCACTTCTAGTATGTTGTCTTCTATATTTTTCTTGTAAGTGGACGACAGACTATGAAGAACACCACCTGTTACACTCTCTCCTGTGGGAAATAATTCAACGTATCTTGTAACTAAGTGTAGACCCACATTTTTTAAACATAGATAATCGATACAACTAATCAGAATACTGTCAATCAATGAAATGCACTCCATTTGTTACAGGGCTTGTGTGATCATCTTACTATCATAATGGCTTCATGGCAAAGTACGTGTAGAGAAATAATTGAGATGTCTTGCATCCTAATTAATAACCTAAAATCAAATTATAGAATACAAAAATACTTCAACCTTATTTTTTCCATACAGGAAAGAATATGGTAAAATTCCTATGATTGAGTGGTATTTTTTTAAATATTTTAACTAAATTTAGGAAATTTATTGGAAGATTTGTCACATAGCCTGTAATAGATACAAGTTGGGAGAATGTCTCCCTGTTGGGAGATTATGCGATGTATGTATAATATGATGTGGGTGGATACAGCATTACGTGATGTGTAAATGTCATTACGTGATGTAGATATGGCATTCTATGATGTAGATGACATTACGTTGACATGGTGTACATAAAGCATTATATGATGTAGATATTATATCTCATGATGTATATATAGCAATTATGTGATGCAGATAAAATATGTAATCTAGATATAGCATTACATGATATAGGTATGACATGAAATTAATTTTGTGATAAAATGCAGTGGAAGAAGAAAGAAACTTAAAATGTGCAGTTAAAAAATGATAATTTAATGCATATGTCAATAAAATAGAGAGCAATTCCTTATACGTATTGTATCAGTGGAAATACTAATGAAGGCTTTCAGAACAGTATAATGATCCACATCTGTTAACCATTGGAAAGTTTTTTTTCAGTTCACTTATTTTATTTTTGCTTTGTTTTGTATATTTTTTGCTTATCGTTAAGTGTTTACTTTGTAAACATTTTGTATGTAAATTGATTGACCATCAATTGTTTGATCATCAAAACAATTACTGTTGGTAGATTAGGTTGTTTTATGTACCAGGAGTGTTTGTTGGGGAAGTGACCATCCACAACCGAAAAGTTTAAGTGTTGAGCTCAACCATCAATATAAACATAGACCTCAACCACAAAGACATGGAAAGTTTACATCCCATAGGGCTATATCTATACCACATATAACTATGGATAGACATATAACAGCTTTGATGTTTCATTAAAAATGCCAAAGCGGAAATACATTATGCTTACAAAAACATTGACACACTATTAAAATTACTATAATACATTTACATGCATCACGTACCGCTAAATAGTTCCTTCCTTGCATTCTCTATGGTTTGATCATCCTCTAAGTAGTAAATCGGTCGTGATATATCACTAGATGTTTCCAACTTCTCCATCCGCTTCGTCCGATAATCCAACGACGAGTCTGTGAAATACAAAAAAAATATATAATATTTCAAAATGTTGCTACAAGCTACACATATTGCACTCAGACTATGCCATGTATTTTATAATTATCAATAATGTTTTTGCTATACACTAACGGTCAAATAACCTGAAACTTGGCAGTGTACCAATCGTCTTTATGTTTGAATTGAAACTAGTAGTTGCATTAGTAGTGAATCGTAGAAAGTTTAGTTCACGGACAGGCGGTCTAGTTTTGGGTATGTGAGAAAGTCAATGCTTAGTAGTTCGGGACCATTAAAATACTTTTGCACATTCGATATGGGACTCATAGCGACGTATACAACGCGTGTAAAATGCATTGTTTATTTACATGAAATTCGAACACGCACTGCGCGACGACCACCGCGCTTTAAGTTTGTTCGAATGCCAGATCACTGGAAGTACTGTGTTTGTCAATTTAATTAATTCAAACATTTTGATAAAGATTTAAAAGTTGTATTATCGGATATATTTTAGATATAACGTAGTATTTGACATACACTAACTGCAACAATTTTGGTATTAACAAAAAATCTGTGCCAGAAGTTTCGTTAAAAAGCCGAACATTTATACTGAGCATTTATGTAGATTCGACTAAGATCAAGTTTTCATCATCTTATCTCCCATTGCACGCGAAATGTTTACAATGCGACCTTCCTAATTAATCAAAATTCAAGGTGAAGCTGGTTTCTTTAAGATTTGTTTGATGAACATTTTTTTAGGATTTTGGTCTGGTCATTTTTATAATAAGGGTGACATTTCTTCTGAATTTAAAATGTGAAAATAAGAAAAAGGTTGCACAATTTCACCAGAGACCGTGTGACATGTGTTGTATACGTCGATGTGAGTCCCATATCAATCACGAACATGATTGTAGAGCTTTAACGTAAAGATTCGCATTGTTAATTTTAAAGAAACTAATAGCAACCAATTTTACTTTAATTTTGTCCATGAAAATAATTCATATAACCCGATTTCAAAAATTGAAATTCTATCAAATCTTAATACCGGGTAGTTTATGTTCTATTGCTCATAATGTGTTGCACAGAAATTCCTCCATCTAAGAACTATCTTGGTTTGTGTATGTTTATAATGTATTCAAACGAAATTTAACAAACCGAAAGCAAGACTACCTAGTGTATTTGGTTGTAACTATTTATTAAGATTAAAAACATACACCACATGCCATATATTCACGCTGGTGATTAATCTACATATTACATAATCTTCATATTCACTGATGCTTACCTCCACCGACTGTATTTGTTTTAGCAGCCCACTCCTCAAAGTCTTCCATTTTTACCACCTTTGTTTCTTCGTCCAAATAATAGCTCTCAGGAATTCTACGGTATACTCCTCCGGAATATTTGATACCAGCAACAGAGATAACAATGACAATATTTCCATCATCATGACAATTTCCCATCTTCTCATTCTCCTCGTCATTATCTACGGAAGACTCACTGGTGACTGGTATAAATGTAATTTTCCAGTGTGTGTTCTCTTGCGGAACGAACCCCCATTGTATTTTTTCAAGTTCACGTTTGACCTTTTGTTTCAGTTTTATAGAATTAATGTTCTTCAAATCGATTCCCTTGGTTATGCATTCGTCATCAACCCCGAAAAATATATGACCTCCTCTGGTATTGGCGAAACCAGAAATATATTTACCAAGGTTGTCTGAGAGTATAGTATCTTTAGATATATTTATGTTTTTAAACTGCACTTGTGTATCTTCACGAGAGAGGTTTGCAGGCATATACTCTTCTTTCGTCAATTGGTGTGGCAGCTTGGGAAGATCCTCTAAATGACATTTAATAGAGCATTTTTTCTTTCTTTCACTGAGCAGTGTTTTTACTTGTGATATAGACATTTTGGTGACTTCACAGTTGGAGGCGCTATAGCAGTCAAGATTAATCGATTTCCACTCTTTTGCGGCAGTGACAAAAAAATTAACATATTCACTGGAACAATCACCTTCTACGGATACAAAATCACTCATATTCTGTGGGTCAATAAGTTTCTTAATAGCTTCGTCAATGGATTTGAGCCACCTGTCAAAGAATATAGGTAACTTATTTATCTGCTTATTCTCGACATTTTTTATCCTCAGCACACCGCCTCCAGAGTTCAGAAGTGCACATGTTTTAACAATTATCTCATCTCGCTGTGCCTCTCGTTGTGATTTAGTATTGCATTTTATTGGCAGAAGGATCTCATTTTCCATGACCAGCATAGTTTCGGCACTGCAAATCAACAAAAACATTGTATTGCCTTGTTAAATACACACTATATGTGATATTATTATATATCTGTCACCGTAATACCATAAGTTACAGCGTGTCGTAATTTTGCGGTATTTTACAGGGTATTTTTATCATACCATATTAGGAAATGCAAATTCCAAATATGGAATGATTATGCGCGTAAAGCGTCCTCTAATAATAAAAATAAACATGGCTGCCACCCGATTTTGACCGGATTCCACACAAAGAATAACATCCTAAAGCAACGTGTAAAGCAATAAAAGAAATGTGCCAATTCATAATAGACCACCTTTCCAAGTTACCCTGCATTTTTTACCCTAAGTGAACACCAATGATCAGGAGAAGAAATACTCACCAATCATTCATATCTTTATCAACAAACATTGGCAGTTTCTAAAGAGAAAATACTTAGTGTCATATTCATAATAAAACTATCATCTATAATATTGTATAGTTTTTCAAATCACATCCAAAAAAAACCATAAGTGTGATAGACATATGTCTTGATATACTTATAGTTGCATTATAATATTATAAACTTATTGCATATATTAGACAGCATTGACGCATCATGTCATGTGTGAATGTAGTGTTCATACTTACAGGTTTACGTGACGAACCAGCACCTGCTTCAACACTTTGTCTTTTCATTCTTCAAATGGTACACATGACGTAAAGTAAAACTAAACAAAACGTTGTTATGACACTGATACTAGAGTAGAAAAAAAGTATTTAATCTGTATTATATTGGTATCATAGACACATATGGCAGCAGCACGTGAATTAAATACCACAAGTACTTATATGTTAAAGGGCGGTAGTCGTTGCGCCGCGGCCTGTTCGATATGGGACTCATAGCGACGTATACAACGCGTGTAAAATACATTGTTTATTTACATGAAATTCGAACACGCGCTGTACGACGACCACTGCGCTTTAACTTTAATATTTCGCTGAATGAAATGAATATTTGAGAATAGTGTTGTAAATACGGTGGCCCACAGGTGCCACGGCAAGGTTATTTTTGGGAGGCAAAACTTTAAATTCGTGGGACAAAACTTATTATTTTAGGACGAAACTACAATTTCTGTATTCAACACTTTAATATTGCAGTACAACATTTTTAATTAGATGGACAAAACTTTAATATTCCGGGACACAATTATAATTTTACTGGACTGCACTTCAAGATTGTGGGTCAAAACGTAATATTTCAGGATTCAGTTATATATTTTTAGCAGGCCGTACTTTAAGATTGTGGGACAAACCATTTAATCGGTGGGACAAAACGTAATATTTCACGATTTAAAAAAAAATATTTGTTTGGATATCAAAATAACAAGAGAAACTACCTACAATAATGTGGAAATACAATATCTAATTCTGCGCTGAAATATATGCCATAGAACGTAACATATATATGATGTGGTCGTACTTGTATTCCACGGGACAAAACATTTATTTCGCAGGACAAAACATTTAATTCTCAGGACGGAAGTTATCATTCTACCCAGAACTCCTCGCGACCATTTCCGCCATTGTACCAAATGGTTGTCTGCTAACCCCGCGCTGCTATAAACGTAGTATTCCCACCGACCAAGTACGTTGAAGATGTCAGCAGGTAAGAATCTCACATTATATACTGTTAAGTTTGTTAATGAACTTCCTGACTGAAATTCAAGTCCTGGGCGTCAGGCCATTGTCAATGCTGTCAACCGGACGCTCGCCGCTAGAATCATCGGAATGATGGAAGTAGTAATACATCACCTTCGATGTCCAAAAATGGATAAGCAGGTGTGATATATGTAGACAAGTAGCTAAAACGTGATCCCGGAACTTGATATCAATTGCAACATTCCCACTCTGTCGAAGCACGGCCTCTCAACAAGGGGCCATGGTCTCAGACACTCGGCGTACAGCCCCCCCCCAACCGGGGCCGTTAGAGACCAGGAAAAAGTCGGGCTATGAACCACAGCTAGCCACTTTTTTTTCCAAAGAAGATATAATTAAGCTCTTAATATGTATATACAGATTACTGGAGTAGATGGGGGAGGGGGGTCCAGTAATCATTACTAATTCATTACAGCAAGTCTCAGAAGTATTGGGGCAGCCAATTTGCTTTGGTTTGCTTTGGTTTTGTCTGAACGATTGGCTTTCGAATCTCGCTGTCGCCGTCCTGTGATCACACTCACTCTGGATGAATCCATATAACAGTTGGAGCCATACTTTGGTTGGATGGCAATTTTGCTTTCAATTATACCAGGGAAAATGTTCTATTTTCTTTGTGTAATGAGGTGTTCGTATACAGGGATTGTCCACACAAAAACGAGGACAGAAGTTGAATTTTATTAGCGGCTGGTTTAATGTTACCCCAACG